AAAATAAAATTAACCCACTCAAGAAGACCAAGAAAGAAACAATAAGTCTTCGTGAACCATCCGAGAAATGTGATGCAGAAGAAAACAAAGAAAAACTGAGAGAACAAGAGACAAGTCTTCCCTAGTGCAACATTTTCTTTCGTAGACTCAAGGATGTTTGAAATTAATGGTTTAATAGATGTGATTTAATGAACTTAACACGTGTGAATTGGAATAAGTTTCTATTTGGCATGATTATTGAGCACAATTTTTCAAATGCAATGGGGTGCATATTGAGGAGTCATGATTTTTCTGATTGGGTGTGACCATTCAAGTACAAGAGGTGCACAATGAAAAGTTACGAATCTTTTGTGTATGGTGCAAATTAGACTAGCACATCGTGGTGTGATTTAATGATCCAAATGAATTTGTACCAAAAGATTAAATCATTCTGAATGGACACGTTAAAATCCATGACTTAAACCCTCCTGATTTCATTTTCGTCCATCCAAATTAATTTCAAAATAGTCGATTTCTAAATTTTCCTCTGCCTCCCAATTCTGTCATAGTAATTTTCAAATTACTTTCAAGTTTTCATGTTCGTAACTTTAGTATATAATATCATTCCATTTAGAAGAGTACGGTTAAGATTTAGTTCGTCGAACAAAATTAGTATTGTATCGTATTAATTTTGGAAGAAGCAATGTATCTTAGGATACAAACGTCCATTAGCACCAATTAGCACTAGTGCATGAACCAAATATGTCTTAAGAAGATTTGCATGTAATATACCTCGCTTCATTTCATCTCTTTATAAATTCTTATTTTTCCTACATTTTTAGTAAATCGAAATTCTGTCCAACTTCATTTTGCAAAATAATTGCGTGCACATTTTAGTATTGTCTGACTTCCCGGTACAAATTTTGCACCATATTTTTCCAACAAAGGATATAGACAATTTCACCAAAATGTAACAATTATGGACTGGGGTCTGTGACAACGAATCATGAAAGAGATGCATAGAAGAAGATATTTCATCAACACAAATTTTTCCACTTGGAATTAAGTTAAGATAACGTGTGGTTCATGACTCTTAGAAGGTCAAATTAATCCTCATTTCTGGGAAAGTGCAGAATGAAACTTGCTATTTCTTAATTCATCTCTTAAAAGTAATAAGAAAATAGGTTCCATCATCAAGTTTAGAAAAAAATATAAGATCTCTCATAATATCGATATTTGAGATATTTTA